TTCATGAGAATACTTTAGAAAGTATTAGTATTGGAAACCAGTTTGAAGTCACCAAGCCTAACTACCTTATGGTACCAATCAACAAACTAAAGTGCAAAGAAATTAAATAGTTTCCTTAAAATCACCCTGATTTGATCTCTCTCTCTCTCTCTCATATATATATATGTTGTATATATATGTATCTTCATATCAAAATTGATTCAAGATATATCTGCCATCTACAAAACTATATGTATAACATGCCTTCAATACATCTTTCATAAGTTTTATTTTTACAAATTAAGCTTTTAATAAAGTTCAGGCAGCAGGGAGTTTAAGGGATACCTTGACTACTACCACAGGACATGTATGATGGTGTACATTGTGTGGAACCCCTACGTGTTCTAATAGCAAATTTTTAGAGTGGCTTGACATCCTCTGGTTAAAAAGGAGCCTCACTGTAATTAAGTACCTCTAGATATGGTCAGGTTTTTCTTTAGAAAATATTTATGGTCCCGTGCTACACTGAATAAAAGTATGGCTGAGGGCCTGGATTTTCTGCTAGAGAAAAGAGATATAGTCATCTTAGTTTAAAAATGTTTAAGTTAGCACCATTTCAACCACAGAGACAAAGTATCCATTGAATGTCTAACATTAAGCAGTTAAATCCTGCAATATAAACTAATTGCAAAATCTGACAATGTGCAAATAAATGAATTAACCTTTTGTTTGTAGTAAAGAGTTATAAACCAATTATGTAATAGAAAGCATCTACTTGAACTGAAAAATATTTATTTTGGCATGATTGTTCTATCATTTCCCAGTTGTTTTTTCAGAGGACAATAATTGACATTCTAAGCCTCAGTCTTCTCATCTTGTAATGCATCAATGATAATTCTTATGTCACGGGGTTAACAGGAGCAGTGAATGAGGTAATTCATATAAAGGGCTTAGTTTATTTCTCAATAAACATTAATATCTTATCATAAATGGGTCAATTGTCTATTAAAATAGTTCATGACAGTAAAGTCTTGTTATCAATATATACAAGTTTGAAGTGAGGAATAGAAATGCATACAATACACGCTAAAAGGGTTCAGGCACTAAGCAAGCTTTAGTCAAATTCAAGACTAAAGTTAACTGTCTGGGTAACGCAGGATGTGTATCATCAGTTTAGCAATCTTGGGGTGACGGAATTGAAGAAGACACTATTTCTAATTTTGGTGTTCTTCCATGTAGAAGGAAGATAATCTATTACTGTATAGATATCTTTCTCCTACAGTGACAGCTTTCTTAATTAAATTGGAGATTGACCAATGAATTAACAAACACAATTTGCATTATTCTGATTGCCCCTGGTCACAGCAGGCTTGTCCATAGGGATTAGTTGCCAACAAGCAGGTGGACAGTTACTGGAACAAAGCGTCAGGACCTGCAATGGTGTGAGTGATGCTTGTTTTGTATACTTGTTCGTGCTTGTGTCCTTTTGTAACTGTGTGTCAAGAATTGTGATGCTAGCAAAGTTGGAAGGTCAAGGCCATATATGATTAGGGCTTGGGAGGCTCACGAGTGTGTAGCTTGTGAGGTAAATGAGACACTTGTTTTTCTTGATCAAATAACTTGATATTTTAGCTTGCAATGAAATATGTTGAGAGCTACAGAGTGCCCTTATTATTGAAATTCCTGCAGGAAAACTAACTCTGTTATTGTGAGCCTTAAATGCCCTAACCTCAACCCCTTTTATCTCTCACTGAATCGATTGGTTTTATAATTCAATTCTGATAAAGTAAGTTTTCTCAGGAATCCAATTATCTTTTATAGCATACCAGATATCAATATACAATGCAGGATGTGCTGCATCAGAAGAATTCAGAATACAGGACAGTAACCCAGAATGATTCTGCCTGGAGTGTGTGGACAGATGGCAGGAGTGTCAGACAGTCTATGGAAAGAAGATGACATGTGAGTAGGAGATTCAGGAATACAAACTCATTCCCCATGCAGATGGAATGGGGAAAACTGTTCCTGGCAAAGGGAATGGCTTGACTGTACAAAATATGGAGAAATATTACACATAGGAGATAGTAACTGGCATGGCTGGTTAACATATGCTGGACAACTACACCTGAATGTGTAGTAGGTGCTGTTCTAGGCAACGGTCACTTTCTGCAAAGACAAGAAATGACTTTCAAAGGCAGGTTGGAGCCAGGAGGTAGGTTGAGAGGTGTGTGTTTTATTGCTTTAGAATTTGCATTCATTTCTGAAGACAGTGTGGAGTTCACTGCAGGTTTACAGTACAGGAAGGGAGGAGGTGGTAAGAACTAAATGCAGAAAAAAGCACAAACAGAATTGTAGAATGGAGATTAAAGAGAGGAGTGATTAGGAGGAGATGCATCAGACCAGGCTGGGGGAGTTGACGGGGGTGGTATGGGAAAGTAGTGAAATGTGATATGCACAATGACATATCTGGCCCTATTTCCTGGTACCCACAGGATCTATTTCCCCCGCTTTCCAACTCTTCTTATTATAACCTGCTCTAATTTGCAAGGAATTTTAAAAAGCCCTAAAAATCTAAATTGGACTCTCTCTCCCTGAGCTGAAATTACTTTAGCAAAGATAATGGCTTCTTTTAGTTTGCAGGGTCTCATCTTCTCTTCCAAAGGTTAAAAATAGAAAACAGATTAAAATCCTGAGTATGAATCCTAAAAAGGATTTCCATTCCCTCCCTGTGGGGTGATAAATTTAAAGGGCCCTGGGCTCTAGAAACTGCTTGAGTGATGCACTTTGGATTAGTGCATTCTTTTTTTAGTTGAGCCCAAAGACATACATGTGCTCTTTTTCAGACTGGGTCACCATTGCTCAGCATGTTCACACTATTTTGCATAGCAGATGTGATCCTAATAATTTCTACCATTATTTCAGGTTAGCTGGGTGTGTGTGTGGGGCGGGGAGAAATGAGCAGACAGAAGCCTAGATTAGCATTTGCTTCACATTTCTTGATTTCTAGTGAAGATGTCTATTCTATTAGCACCTATCCCTTGGGACATGCCTGGAACAGCAATTCCACACGTGGGAATGCTCTTCTGCCCTAAACTGTAGCTCACTTTGTGCTGTTGCCCACTTTGCTGGACCTCACCTTGCCCCAGGATCACCCACGAGGACACCCCTGCCCCCGGCTAGGGCTTTAAGTGGACCTTTGGACTTACCCTGGTTGGATGAGCCAACTAATCCCACCTAGAAATAATAACACTTTGTTCCTGTGAAGAGATTTTGCTTTAAAAAAATCTCTCCTAAGCTTTCTTAGCTCTAGACCCAGAAATATTAACTGAGGTGAACATAGGAATGGAGACCAGCAGAGACTTTGGGCCATTTAGTGTCAGTGGTTATGTAAATTAGTGTTAGCACTCTCCAAGGCTGTGGGAAGGAAGAGAAGGCTGCTGGGCGGCCCTCAATTCCTTGGTGTCCCCATGATTAAAAACTACCTTATGCTAGAGATGATAAGGAACATATCAGCACACTATAAGCCTTCTTTTCATTGTTTCTTAAATTGCTGATAAAATCACAAGTCATCATGGTTTGTTTTCTTGGGAAGATGTTTTTTTAAATTGAATTTATTTTCCCCAAATTCCTGTGAGATTATGTTGCTGTATTTAGTCCAGAGACAATTTTCCCCCCTATGATAAAAACACGTGTATCTGAAAATGCATAGCAATCTGCGGTTTTTCCCTAACTGGCATTGATTCCTCTCTTTTGTAGGTAACTGATGTCTAACTTTCCTTTGAAAAACCATGCCACCCATGTCCTCATTATCTATCCCTAAGGGAATTTTTAGACTCTGAGTGCTAATAGAGTCTCAACTGTATTTGGGGAACAATAGGTAAAACACGAGCTTTCTCTGCCTCCTCTCCTGGTGGAGGTGGGCATGTGACACCATTCTGCCCCTTGAGATATAAAAGAAAGTTTTCTGAAGGCCTCTAGGAGATCTTCTGAGTTCATATTTGTAGTAAAAAATGGAACATGTGCACTGAGCGTATCTTTCTTCCTTATTTCTCCCTTGGATACAGACATGATGGCTGGAGCTACAGTACTCTATATGCTGGAGAAGGACAACAGAACATAGCTCATGGTCTCTTGATTTCCTTGCATCACTAATTTAAGCAGGGGACTGCTTGCCTCCAGATATGTTATTGTGTGAGAACAACAAACTCAGTGGAGGCCACCAAGAAGAAAAAAAACTAAAAATCTTGGGTTGACTCATTTGAGACTTCATCCTTCTTGAGAATACAGTAGGTAGGCAAGACTTTGGGATGTCTCTGTGTCAGAATGAGATGACTGAGTTTAGTGTTAAACATGAAGCAGTTGCATTATGTTGCCCGGATATTTTGAAGCTGGGCTTACGGAAAGAAATATGTATAAAAGAAGGGCCTTCAAGGGGTGGACTGTGGTGGATATCTATTTTTGTGTTTTCAGTGTCCATTGCCTGTTCCTCCAATAGTAACATCCAGACTTCAATAAAAAACTATCTCCTGACTCTCAGCCAGTGTGTTTTGGTGCAGCTAGACAACCACCTAGAATCATAGGTGGTGGATTAACTAGAGTGGCTGAAAGGAAAAGCATTCAGTAGTACAAGTGGGAGAGTTTGGGGATAAGAGGAAGTACTGATGTATGATTTGAAGGTGTTCCATCAATATATCTGTCCATATGGCTTGGAACCCATGAGATTTGTTTCTGTGATAAAATGATTGTTTCAAGCTAGTGTGTTTGGGGTTTTATTCCTGAACATTGTCATAAAATGGAGTTTCTTCTGGAGAGGAGGAGGAAAGAAAACCTTTGAGGCGTGTCCTTATTTGAAAGGAGGAATATCAGTATCATTCTGCTCTTCCTTGAAATAGTCACAGAACCCAAAGCCTGTAAAAAAGGTGTAATTAGCGATTTCTCCACCTCTCACTTTCACACTCAGCAATGTAGAGGAATTTTGGAAAAGAGGAAGGGCTAAGTGCAAGTGTCCTTGACATAAGCAGTGTCATTACCGTGGGATACATGACTCTCTTTTGTCATTTTAAAAGGCATCTTGCTTAGCGCCAAGACAGTGGCTGAATGGAACATCGAGCATTAGAAGATTCAGATCAGTGTTCCCTGCCTGGAGAGATTGTAGATTTTACCATGAAAAGAACTTTGGAATCCAGAGCAAAGAAGGGAGAAGAAGGGATAGGAATATTCTTCCTACAAGGCTGTCTAAATACATTCATCAATTCTTTCCACAAATATGTCCTGAGCCAGTGCAGAACATTCTCAGCTTTCAGAACAGCATTTATTTTTAAGGAGTTCTTATACATATACAGACACAATCTGAAATAAATTTGAATAAAATGATAAGACAACTGTAGCTTGATTCAAAATAATGTTGGAATGAAGGACTACACGTGCTGGAAGGTTGACCATAAACTAATTAGCTGTTATAGCTAAGGAATAGATAGACATAGGAGCCTCTAGTAAACCATTCTCTCTACTTTTATATATCTTTAATTTCTCATACTAAAATTAATATCGGGGCTGGGGA